CCGCCACAGGCCCGAGGCGCAGCCTCCCCCAGCAGGCCTCCGCAGGGCTGGCTTCGTTTTCTGGTGGGGGTGGCACGGAGGTTCTCTTGTTATTGTTGTTGTTGTTGTTTCTTTTTTTCCCTTTTCTCCTACCTTTCAAACGGGAACAAGCCAAGCCCCGCCGCGCTGGGGCACAGGTCCCTGCCCTCCTCCCACCTCACCTACCCCCACGGCCTGTGGGACTGCCAAAACCCACCTCCCGTGTCAGGGGAGAATTGGGCGGGATTGCTGAGCCCGGGAGGTTTCCTGGGCTTGAAGGACTTTCTCCTTTGCCTTGCCCAGGCGTATGGGGAATTCTAACAGTTCTATAGTTTGCAGTGGGGCGGGGACAATACATGCCTAAGGAGGCGGCCAGTGTGAGAAATGACAAGGAAAGGGGGACGGATTGTGTTCAGCATCATTTGCGTAGGTCAAATATGTAGTATGTACGGCTTAGCTGAGTTAATGTTGCTCTAGGACCTTAACTCTTGCAAAGTTGAGAATCAGAAGGCAACGTTATAGTTGCGTTGACAGAAGTATTTGCTGTATATAAGCATTTACTACCATTTAAGAGTAATGGGTGACTCAGTGTTACACCACAGATATGTAGGTGCTCCCCATCAGATTCACAGTTAATATACCTAGGTGTATCTCAATTAACTGCTAGAATCTGAATTCCTGTTCTGTTGGGTTTAAGGAAATAAGCATCCCTGATGGTCCTCCCCCTTTTCCCTAGAAAAATCTCTGCCTTAGAAGGTCTTGGGAAAAACCTTTCTTCAACTCTATATACCACTTTGTCAGTATCGTTCATCCTCGCTAGCATAATGGTGTGTTACTAGGTTATACCAGACAAAGTAGTAACCTACTTCTCGTTCTGGATTTAATCCATATTTGAAATGTTATGTGCACTGAATACATGGGGGTTGGAACAAGGACCATGCTTGTATTGGGATGCCTTTCTTTGAGTAATGTAAACTTCCTTTTAATTGTCATGCATTTTTCTAGTAAAAGCTCTGCAAGTCTGCAATAAAAATGGCCTCCAATAAAACTACATTGGTAAGTTCATGCACACCTAAAGTATATAAGGATTTAATCAACATATTTTTCTTCAAACTTATAACTTGGCATCTCCATTTAAAAGATACATCCACATCTCCCCTCCCCAGCATTGTTCTGACCAAAATTTCAGATCCAGAAAGTAAGGCTACTAGAAAGGACATTGGCTTTCAGAAATCTGCCATTTCTAAAGAGACTTGTTGGGAAGAAAATAAATTTGAAGGACTCTGCACTATTTCATAGGTCCTAGGCTAGAAAACACTAAGGATTTTTTTAGCCTCCTTTCAGCACACCATGTAATTCATCCTATATGTAAAAAATAAAATCTAGATCATGTATTCATTTAATTTCTCCCAGTGTATTTGGGGAAAACTAATAGCCTGGGAAAAGGCAGTCTTTACAGATGAGAAATAACATTATTGGGAAATGATGTGGCATAGTTAAGATGCCTTTTGAAATGATTTTTAACAAATAACAGTTTCTTTGAATTTCATAGGAGCAGAGATTATCAGATGTCAACCCCTCCTGGACCATTTTAGTGATGCATTCGTGGATCTCAAGTCCTTTAAAGCTTTGCTTGACATTAAAATATGGACTTCTAAGGGCAGTTGGTTGCTGGTCACCATTCAACTGATAAGGATATATAGTTTTGTGAAAGACAGAACTAAAAAGTGGAGCGTGAGATGCATCTGAGGTTGAGGCGGGGAAGTAAGCAAAAACACACATGTACAGTTCAAAATCTGGATAGCAGAACAGCTGATTTATAACGCACTCAAAAGTCCTGTTCTTAAATTCGCTGAAATGATTACTGGTTGACCTAGATTGAGATATATTAAAACCTTGTATTGACTCCTGGCTTAGAAGTGCAGTGGAATGCTTCCTTTATATTGTATGGTAGCTGTTTTAAAAAATTCCAGTGAAGTGAATGTCTGAACTTTACGTTAGTAATTGATTGCCTACTTTTCCCTAATTTGAGGAAGAGACACAGCCAGCCTGGGAAGAGGGTGCCTCAGGAGAGGAAAGAATCTGTGAATGCAGTATTTTTAATCTTTTGATGTTGTTGAGAATTTTGCTGCACAGGTCAGGAAAATCAGTTATGGTTCCCATGGGAACCGTAACTAATTCTGCTTCATTATGTATTTGTATGCAAAACCTAAATGTATTAAGGGATAGCGTAGCTCTGGATCTGTAATTCTGATTTTGTTACCTCTTGTATATTAAAACCCTTCGCCACAGTGTCACATCAGCATTTTGATCTTGCCTCTCAAAGAAAGAGTGATTATCCGCTGGAGAGAATCTGCCTCTGTCATACATGACTTCTGAATGCAGATGAGTATTCAGTGGTCAAACACCCAAGTTACAGTTTACAACATGCAACCTTAAGAGAAGGGAGCTTCAGGGGTCTAGTGGGCATTTAGTACCCTTTAACCTCAGTCAGATACCGCATTCACTCATGGGCAGACATTTACGTTGGCTTGTGTAATCTCAGAATGTACAGGTTTTTAACAATGTTCAGTATTTCTGCAGGCTCTGCAGTCAAGTATTATTTTAGGAGGTTGGAAAGGCTCAAGAGGTTAGAAAGCAGTGCTGACATGCATGAGACCTAATTAGATCTCTCAGTATTTAAAACAAAAAGCAACATAGCCTTGATTTTGTTATTTCTTACTGCACTTTAAGAAAAAAATACAGACCCCCATGATGTTCATTGTCTTCTGCGGAAGATCATATAGATGCTTAAGTCTTAGAAGTTTTAAAAAAGAAAAATGTTGCTTTGATACAGAAATCCAAAACATTTGTCTTTAAGTGACAAGAATTAGTGAAGCCGAAAAGAGTACCAGAAAACAATCTTCCATTGAATCAAAGAAATTTAGTCCAACGGAGAACAAAGATGGAGATGTTTCCCACTTGTAGCCTGCTTGCCTCATCACCAGTAATTATAATGTTATTACTATGGTATAGTGAGTCTGTGTCGTTTTTTCCCCTCTGCTTCTTTTTTTGTTTGTTTTTCCTCATCTCTACCTGTTTCTCTTTTTCACACTTCCATTTCTTGAAAGAAGCTGCCTTCACAGAGGCATTGGACATCTTCATGTTTTTATTTTTCTTCAATTTCAGTCTTACATGTTTTTTCCTGTGGAGGCAAAAAAAGCCAGTGTGCCTAAGTTGACGCTTTTCAGACATGAATGCTGTGGTCAAAATACACCTGGGATATGCAGGCAGTTAAAATCTAGTTGGAAATACCTGCTCTATTTTAGATAATCTCTTCTATGCTGCCAAATCAAAACGAATGTCACGAGAGATATAATCATATACAGAAACTTGCTGTTTGAAAGAGAAACTTTTACTCCTCTTCGTTCTTTGCACTTTAAATTTACAGCTTGCTAACCAGTGTAAAGCTATTTTGGGGAGGGAGGGAAAAATTAATTATGAAAAATAAGGGGCACAAAGGCAGGGCTTTGGAAAGAAAGAATCAGCTTCAAATCCTCAGTTTACGAAAAGACCACCATTTTTCTTGTGTCTAACAAATTTTTTTATCTTTCACTACATCAAGACAAAATTCTACAAAGTCTAAAAATTTGAGAATTTCAAAATTGCTTCGCAGTATTCTCATACTAACCCACATTAATTCTAGAGAGGACTAGAGAATGAAGATCAAGTAAATAGAGGTGCTCTGTGATTTTTGCTTGTCTGTTTTCTGTTCTATATGAAGTGCATTAGTGAGGAATTAGTCCTATCCACTTTGATTTAGGGTGCTGCATGAGTATATGTTTTAAGAGCTTAATATTGCTCCCATTAGTTTATGGCTGCCACTTTTAACAACTTACAAGTTGCAGTCCAAAATGGCAAGCAAACTGCTTTTGGTCTGCTAGTGCTCCAGAAATGTGATCCAACATCATGATAGGCTTCTTCCAACCTTTTTAAGATTACAAACTAGGAAATTCTGAAATGTGTCCTTCTATTACTATTTAATTGTGCCTTATTAAACTGGGAATGCCTTGAGGATGATGTGGATGTAATACTTATTTTAAGAACTTAAAGAATATTATTTGAAGTATCAAATGTAAACTTAAAACACTTGTAAAGTTTTTTAAGTTAGCAAAATTTCATTTATGTGTTAAGTGCTGTACTTAAGTGTAGCTGTCTTAAGTTTTTGCACCATTGTGACGTCTGTTTGAATGTAAGTTACATCGGTGCGTGGCTAAGAATGAGAAGAGAGTACAGTAATGGAATGCTGCTAGCATGCATCCTGTTCAATAGTTACGGGTTATTGTTAAGTATTTTGCTTACTGTAGCAGCACATCACAAACTTTGCTCCCATCAGCTTCTCCTTTTTTTGGAAAAGGTAGTAACCACCTATTTTTTTGAGTACCATCCCTTCTCTGATTTACGCATTTTCACGGTTTTCTTACTACTTTTCTTTACTTCTGCCTTATGCTGTTTCTTGCCCTCTGCCTTTTCACAGGCATAAAGTTAACTTTTAGAAGCTTCATAAATGTTTGAGCATGTAGCATTCTGAGAATTAAATTTGGAAGGGGAGTGGAGGCACTGAGTATGTGGACAAAAATATTTCACCTTTTTAAAAACTGGTGTTGGGTATCTCATTAAGCAACTGAAAAAACCCAAAACATCAACATGTCTTGCTCAGGTTACCTGACCACATGCAGTAACGTAAAAGGAGTCTGAGCTTCTGGCTTTAGTGTGAATAAGTACATGATTCATTGCTGTTTACTGAGCAAAGTTGGATTTGGCCAGTGAAGTAACTATGTAAAGCAAAAGAATGAATTATGTCATTCTGAATTTCTTTTGTAGCACAAAATGGGAAAGAAACAGAATGGCAAAGGTAAAAAAGTTGAAGAGGCAGAGCCTGAAGAATTTGTTGTGGAGAAAGTCCTGGACAGACGTGTTGTAAATGGAAAGGTGGAATACTACTTGAAGTGGAAAGGATTTACAGAGTAAGGCATCACCTATTATTTCTTTCTGATAGAATGCTAATGCTAACCATTTATTTGAAATAACTGTGTAGAGAGGGGTTTGGATGACGGGGAGACATTTCAAAGAACCTCAAGGGAAGGACATCCATAAATGCAGATTCAGGTGGGGCAGTCAAGTAGGAAAATGAAATAGAAGATACGTAGCTTAGTGTTTGTGCTACATAAAATGTTCCAAGACTTTTACCAAGTCCTCAGTGATCATTCTGTTACCACTGTTATTTGATTTAGCTTGTGTCAATATCTATCAAGGTAAGCTAGACTGACAGTTGTTAAATTTATGCATGTGGTGGAATGAATGTTACTTCTGAGTAAGAAATTTTGCAGGGAATTGAACTGTAGGCAACTCTGAAGCAATGAATTTGAAGCAGGTAGTTTGCTTATTATTCGCTTTTCTGAAGTGCTCTCAAATTAGATGAATTTGCATAAGGAATTCTGTGGCATGGTTGCCTTCATTAGACATACCCGAAAGGTATCTTTTTGAGTCTCTTTCCTAGGACTTAACGGAAACACAAGAAAACCTCACAGAGGACTTAAAAAGTTGATTGTTAAAGAAGGCACATAGTTGTGCCCTTCCTCCCATCCTCCCTCCCATGACACTTTCTGGCAGACTACCAGCTGAAAAAAGGTGATGCATGTAACATTTGAACATAAGTAGTTACATGTACAGTCATATTATTGTTGCCTACGTCTCAAAGTGATGCATTGCAGCATTCTACATTCTAGCACCTGAAATTTGTGTAGTGATAAGTGCATAAATGCAAAAGACAATGTGTTTAGTAGTCGAGGGTCTGATTTGAAGTTGTGAAAATGTGTTTTAGTACCTGAAAGTAATTTGTAGGCATCCTGCTTGTACAGTAGCACTGGGGCAGTATTTGTGCATGAGGACTTCTGATGAGGTGCTTAGTTGTTGTAGGGAGCATTCGTGGACTTCTTAAAATTTCAGTTAACAAAATACACACTCACTGGACCATTTGCATTGCCCAGCTCTGGACATGGAACCTTTGTTCCCTCCTGTAGTCAACTGAAGGAGGGAGATAGTTCTAGGTATAGTTGATCTCGGTGCTTGGAGGCAACTTTTGAGAGCATTCCTTGTATATAGAAGGTTGGACATATATCATTAGGCCTTTTGTAGTGAGCGTTGTGTGTATTCCGTTCTCAGTAAGGCTTAGTGCTCGTATCATGTGGTCTGTTTGCATGGACAGTCTTTAGAGGAACCAGGGAAGGGACTCAGTTTAAATGGACCAGGTAGGTTTCGGTAGGGTGGGGATTGCTTGTTTTAGCTCCTGTGAGCCCACTCAGACCATAGGAGTTAATAGAGCTGCTTATTTTCTATCTGGTTGAAGAACATCGTTTTTCAACAATAGCAGAGCATAGTTTTTTCAGTCATCAGATGCAGTACATGAAGGTTACTAAAGATTGTAAGATAAGCATCCTTAGGTTTAAGAAACCTGCCTTACATAGTGAGAAAAAAATTAACTTGCTTAAGGTGAGCCATGTGGCTAGTTTTACGTTTTTCTTCTTTTCCTAGTTTTACATAAATGTGTGTATGTTTCAGTGCTGACAACACATGGGAACCTGAAGAAAACTTAGATTGTCCAGAGCTAATTGAAGCTTTTCTGAACTCTCAGAAAGCTGGTAAAGAAAAGACAGATGGTGCCAAAAGAAAATCTTTGTCAGATAGCGAATCTGATGATAGTAAATCAAAGAAAAAGCGTGATTCTGTAAGTATATGTTCACGTGCTAAACTTTATTTTTACTGTGTCTCTGCCCTTCCTCTCCATCCCTTCCCCCCATCCCATCCCACTGTGACTTTGAGAATGAGACCAAACGTGGGTTTAAAACTAAAAATCGCACAGCATTTGGAACTGTGGTTTGAAAACGGTAATAATTCGCGGTGGTTAATGAGACTATTCAGATGGTGAGTAAAAGATGTTTGACTGACATGATGACTAAAAGTTCTGACGTTGTCCTGTGAATAACTGAAAGTAAGACTGGTTAAGAGTTATTTATGAATTATATTAAGGGGTCAGTTTGTATTAGAGCAAAAGGTTCATAAATGGAACAAAGGTGAAGTTTTGTGTTGGCTTTTGTATTTAGTATATGATTTTAAATAAGTGAGTGGCAAGATGGCAAAATGTGAAGACTAGGCGGTTACTTAGATTGGGACCAGACATGATGGTGGAGAGGGAGTAGAAAGAGTGACTGAAGAAAGCCTACCTTTTCTTAAAAGTCTGGGTTTCTCCTACAGTTTAATTGAGTGAACAACATGACGGATTTAGTGCTCATGGGTACAAAATAATGTGCGTACAATAATGTGCCCGATAGTTCACATTTTTCCATGTAAACTTTCAAACTAGCAATTTGAAACGAAACTGCTTGGCAATGTCCGTGGTTTACTGAAGACAGCTGTTGGATGTGTGGTTATTGTCAAAAAAGTTGGAAGGCATGAGAAGGAATAATTGATCAATAATACAAAGAAAATTTTAGTTTCTGTATAAAGTCAATTGTGTGTCTTCGTCTGGGACAATAGTAGTGGCCACTGTCTCAAAAAGGATATTGTGAACCTAGAGGAACTAATGCAGGAAATAGTCGCGATATTCCTTACCACCTGTGTGATCTCAGTGAGCCTAGACGAGTTGAGGTATTCCCCCAAGGGTGCAGTTTCGTGGTTGGCTTAAGCCAGCTGAAGTCTGTTGTTTTGCTGAAAAGGATGTGTTTTTCCCACTTCCACGAGTGCAGTTTTGCTTTGCCTCTTCTGTTGCTTTTACTGGCCATGCTTGTTTGTTTATCTACTGTAAGGGTTTTTAGATCACTTGTTTTCATCTATTGAGTTTTCAGAAATAAATGCTAGAAGCAGTGATGTAAAATTCCTTTGTTGTTACTCCACATCTAAATGACTTGGCCTGTTGATCATTCATGCAAAAATAAAATTAATGTCATCTTCAGATGATTGTATGTAATTTTAGATTTTATAATTCTGTACGGCTGTATTTTTAGTTCTAATATACATATATATATACCCATGAGAGTGCATATATCTAGTTCTAATGCCAAAATAGATTTCTATCTTTAACTAACTAACAATATTCTAACTTACTAAATAGGTTGATAAACCAAGAGGGTTTGCCAGGGGTCTTGATCCTGAGCGGATAATTGGGGCTACAGACAGCAGTGGAGAGCTTATGTTCCTCATGAAATGGTAAGTCTTACATCCACAGTTCCTGTCCGTATTAAGGGAGGGCAGGCAGCTGCACTTAGGCTAATGAGACAACTTCATTTCAGGAGTAAGACAGAGAAGCTGGTAGTCTGCTTATTAACCTTGTATCCTTAGAGAAACAAGGCTTCTATAATGAGTGCTTACTCCCTCTTCCTTCAAAACACAAAATAACCCTAGTTTCTATTGGTTTGGTTTTACAGAAATAGAAAGTTGAAACATACATTCTGATAAAATATGGAAAAACTGGCATTTGTATGGAAAAGCCAGATCTCGTTAGTGTTCTTGCTGAGGGAACGGCAGGCACAAATCCAGCTTTACGTGTTACAGTAAGCAGAAGCCAGCTGCTGGATAGCCAGCCATTTAACTGGCCATAGTACCAGCTGTTCTGTGTGCAACCAAGTGGAATTGGAAGCAACTAGTGGAGGAGGCTTAGGTTGAAATCACGAATAAACAAGGTGGAGAGGTTTATTTTTATGGGCTAGAAAGAGGGGAAAGCGATGGGGGGAGTTTGTTTTGTTGGGAGGGTAGATAGAGACCCGCTTCATTAGCTACAGTGTTGACAGAAGGACTGCTTGCCTTGTGAACCAGTAGGATAAAATGAGTGGTTTTTTTCCAGTGTTAATAATGCACGAGATTGAATTAGCATTTGCTGGGGGTCTGATTTCTTAAGGTGGTGAGATGAGAAGAACGATACCTTTCCAAAGCCTTTGAGAAGGGCATAATTTTCTGAATGGAGTCAAACTGAGTGGTCTCCAGAGAAATGATTTATCATGTGATGTGCCTGGACTGCTGAAGATTAGTACTTTGGAAGATTCTGTCTGCCTTCTGCTTTTTCAACTTCTCTATAAATTTTATGTGAAACTTGGAAGAGTTGCAAAATACAGATCATGACTCTCTGAATTTCTGTAGTGATAATTGGCAAAATCAAGCATAAAGGAAACATACAAAAAGAAGCACTTTTTAGTTTAGTTCATTCGCAGTTGATGAGTTTTTCATAATTAATTGTAGGCAACAAAAATAGATGTGAATATGTATGCACAAAACTGACTTTTAAAGACAGCGTACAATTTAAAATTGAATCTGAAGCATATCAGACTGGAAAGTTTGTTTTATTACCCCAAGACAGCATCAAGAATAGCAGTATGAAATACAGCAAGTTACTTGCATAAACAGTAAATATAATGTCTACGTAAGTACCATCTCTGAAGACTGATGCTAGTGATTTTTAAAAGTCTCACTGAAGTTTTGATTATGCTTTAAAAGACAAGATTAGCAAAGTTTTACTGCTTTCATTACATGCTGCAAAGTAACTGTGTAAATGGTTCCCTTTGAATAGCGTTTTCCTTTGAAACAGAAAAAAAATACGGCAAAGGAAGGAAAACGCAGCTATGAAACCTTGCCATTACCATGGAAATTCTTGGTAGCTATAGTGAAAGGTATAATGAAATCTGATTTCTAGCTGACATCCTTTTCAGAACTTATGACCTGTCAAGAGCTGCTAGATTTACTGAATTAATGATTATGCATTTTCTTAAATCCCACTCTCTTCTACATCAGGAAAGACTCTGATGAGGCAGATCTGGTGCTGGCCAAAGAAGCTAACGTGAAGTGTCCTCAGATCGTAATCGCTTTTTATGAAGAGCGACTAACTTGGCATTCATGCCCAGAAGATGAAGCACAATAATTGTTTGCATTGCTTTTTTTATATATATGAATATTAAAACATGAAATGTGATTTATTAGCAATGTGAGAAGCGTACATTCTAACAAGAATCAAATTTGATATTTTTTTGAAGTAGTATGTTTTGCATCAACAGCAAGTAAATAAAAGCTTTCTGCAACTTGTTTCATTTATCACAAGAGAGCATTTGATACTACTACTTCCTCCATGTTAGGTAAAAGCTTTTATAAAACATAAACTTCCATAATTATTACAGAATCATAATGAATGTCTAAACAAACTCGCAGATGTTTTGTAGTCTTTTATACTATTGATGTGCATGTATCTTCTTTACTCAAACCTAGCCCTTTAAACCTGTAGAATCATTCTTTTTAGTATTTGAGATCACTTGGTTTCACCAAGACCGGGTGAAAACTAACTTCATAACAATTTGAATGTTATCAGAAAGGACCGATTTGGCTTAACCTGGCAGGTAGCTAAACACCACACAGCTGTTCACTCGCTCCCTCCCAGTGGGGTGGAGGAGAGAATAATCAGACAAACACTTGTGGGTTGAAATAAAGATAGTTTAATAGGACAGAAAAGGAAGGGAAAATAATGATAAAAGAGTGTACAAAAGAAGTGATGCATAATGCAGTTGCTCACCACGTGGTGAATGATGCCCAGCCAGGCCCTGAGCAGCAGCCACTGTACCCCTAGCCAGCTCCCACCAGTTTATATGTTCAGCATGATGTCATACGGTATGGAACATCCCTTTGGCCAACTGGGGTCAGCCCCCACTGTGTCCCTTCCTAGGTCCTTGTGCACCCCCAGTCTCCTCGCTGGCAGGGCAGTACGAGAAGCTGAAAAGTCCTTGACTTCAGTGCACTGCTCGGCAACAACTAAAACATCAGTGTGTTACTAAGATTATTCTCATTCTAAATCCAAAACAGTACTATACCAGCTACTAGGAAGAAAATTTAACTCTAGCCCAGCCAAAACCAGGATAATACCCACCCCTTATTTTATGCGATCTGTGTTATGTCCAGGTCCCACACTTTCCAATACATCCCAGTTAATCACCACCAGCTTTCCTGTTTTTGGATATACGCACACAGATATCATTCCCTTAGTCTGTGGGCCATCCCTCTAAAATGTCCATTGAGTTCATTTATTCCATGACTTGGGGCTCCACCTGTCGTAACAGCCCTCCAGGGCAGGAGAGGTGGTGTGTGGTGTTGGGCTGTTGCATGCTGAAGCCAGTTCTGACTGCATCACTGCTGTGCTTGTCTAGTTCTATTGTCACTGCATTTTGCTCGGTTTCATCAAAATTCATTAATCTGGCTGATTCTTAGTGTAATGGCATATAGCAGCCATAGTAGTGATGACATACAGTATTATATAGCAATTAACATCATACAATTCAAATCATTGGCTGTTCTCACCCATAATCGAATCCCCCATCCTTCCATGTTGCCCACCCAAGTGCACCCAGGTCCCTGAGCAAAAGCAGTGCTCTCGGAGTAGTTTTTAGCAGGCGATTGTACTCTGCGATTTTCCTGGAGGCTGGTGCGTGGCAGGGGGTGTGATACACCCACTCCGTGCTGTGGTCTTTGGCCCGGGTGTTAGTGAGGCTGTCCCGTTGTCTGACTCGGTTCTTTGTGGGGTGCCGTGTCTCCATAGGCCTTGCTTTTCAAGGCCCAGGATGGTATTCCAGGCAGTGGTGTGGGGCACAGAGTAGGTTTCCAGCCATTCCGTGGTTGCTTCCACCATTGTAAGCACGTGGTGCTTGCCTTGGTGGGTTTGTGGCAGTGTGATTTAATCAGTCTGCCAGGCCTCACCGTATTTATATTTAAGCCATTGTCCTCCATACCACTGAGGCTGTACCTGCGTGGCTTGCTTCATTGCAGCGCACGTTTCACATTCGTGGATAACCTGTGTGGTGGTGTCCATGGTCAAGTCCACCCCTAGATCACAAGCCCATCCAGAGGTTTCATCTCTTGCTTGATGGCCTAAAGTGTCATGGGCCCAGCAAGCTATAAGGAGTAACCGTTATGTTTCCAGTCCAGATCCCCCTGAGGCACTGCAGTCTTAGCAGCCTGATCCACCTGGTGGTTGTTCTGATGTTCCTCAGTGGCCTGACTATTAGAGATACGGGCATCCACATGACATACTTTTACAGCCAGCTTCCCTAGTCAGGCAGCAATATCTTGCCGCAATGGGGCAGCCCAGATGGGTTTTCCTCTGCGCTGCCAGTTGCTCTGCTTCCATTGCTGCAGCCACCCCGACAGGGCATTTGCCATCATCCAGGAGTCAGTGTAGAGATGGACCACTGGCTACTTTTCTTGACTAGCAGTGTCTAAAGCCAGCTGGATGGATTTCACCTCTGCAAACTGCCTCAACTCACCTTCTTCTTCAGCAGTTTCTGCGACTTGGTGTGTAGCGCTCCATACAGCAGCCTTCCACCTCTGATTATGCATTTTCTTAAATCCCACTCTCTTCTACATCAGGAAAGACTCTGATGAGGCAGATCTGGTGCTGGCCAAAGAAGCTAACGTGAAGTGTCCTCAGATCGTAATCGCTTTTTATGAAGAGCGACTAACTTGGCATTCATGCCCAGAAGATGAAGCACAATAATTGTTTGCATTGCTTTTTTTATATATATGAATATTAAAACATGAAATGTGATTTATTAGCAATGTGAGAAGCGTACATTCTAACAAGAATCAAATTTGATATTTTTTTGAAGTAGTATGTTTTGCATCAACAGCAAGTAAATAAAAGCTTTCTGCAACTTGTTTCATTTATCACAAGAGAGCATTTGATACTACTACTTCCTCCATGTTAGGTAAAAGCTTTTATAAAACATAAACTTCCATAATTATTACAGAATCATAATGAATGTCTAAACAAACTCGCAGATGTTTTGTAGTCTTTTATACTATTGATGTGCATGTATCTTCTTTACTCAAACCTAGCCCTTTAAACCTGTAGAATCATTCTTTTTAGTATTTGAGATCACTTGGTTTCACCAAGACCGGGTGAAAACTAACTTCATAACAATTTGAATGTTATCAGAAAGGACCGATTTGGCTTAACCTGGCAGGTAGCTAAACACCACACAGCTGTTCACTCGCTCCCTCCCAGTGGGGTGGAGGAGAGAATAATCAGACAAACACTTGTGGGTTGAAATAAAGATAGTTTAATAGGACAGAAAAGGAAGGGAAAATAATGATAAAAGAGTGTACAAAAGAAGTGATGCATAATGCAGTTGCTCACCACGTGGTGAATGATGCCCAGCCAGGCCCTGAGCAGCAGCCACTGTACCCCTAGCCAGCTCCCACCAGTTTATATGTTCAGCATGATGTCATACGGTATGGAACATCCCTTTGGCCAACTGGGGTCAGCCCCCACTGTGTCCCTTCCTAGGTCCTTGTGCACCCCCAGTCTCCTCGCTGGCAGGGCAGTACGAGAAGCTGAAAAGTCCTTGACTTCAGTGCACTGCTCGGCAACAACTAAAACATCAGTGTGTTACTAAGATTATTCTCATTCTAAATCCAAAACAGTACTATACCAGCTACTAGGAAGAAAATTTAACTCTAGCCCAGCCAAAACCAGGATAATACCCACCCCTTATTTTATGCGATCTGTGTTATGTCCAGGTCCCACACTTTCCAATACATCCCAGTTAATCACCACCAGCTTTCCTGTTTTTGGATATACGCACACAGATATCATTCCCTTAGTCTGTGGGCCATCCCTCTAAAATGTCCATTGAGTTCATTTATTCCATGACTTGGGGCTCCACCTGTCGTAACAGCCCTCCAGGGCAGGAGAGGTGGTGTGTGGTGTTGGGCTGTTGCATGCTGAAGCCAGTTCTGACTGCATCACTGCTGTGCTTGTCTAGTTCTATTGTCACTGCATTTTGCTCGGTTTCATCAAAATTCATTAATCTGGCTGATTCTTAGTGTAATGGCATATAGCAGCCATAGTAGTGATGACATACAGTATTATATAGCAATTAACATCATACAATTCAAATCATTGGCTGTTCTCACCCATAATCGAATCCCCCATCCTTCCATGTTGCCCACCCAAGTGCACCCAGGTCCCTGAGCAAAAGCAGTGCTCTCGGAGTAGTTTTTAGCAGGCGATTGTACTCTGCGATTTTCCTGGAGGCTGGTGCGTGGCAGGGGGTGTGATACACCCACTCCGTGCTGTGGTCTTTGGCCCGGGTGTTAGTGAGGCTGTCCCGTTGTCTGACTCGGTTCTTTGTGGGGTGCCGTGTCTCCATAGGCCTTGCTTTTCAAGGCCCAGGATGGTATTCCAGGCAGTGGTGTGGGGCACAGAGTAGGTTTCCAGCCATTCCGTGGTTGCTTCCACCATTGTAAGCACGTGGTGCTTGCCTTGGTGGGTTTGTGGCAGTGTGATTTAATCAGTCTGCCAGGCCTCACCGTATTTATATTTAAGCCATTGTCCTCCATACCACTGAGGCTGTACCTGCGTGGCTTGCTTCATTGCAGCGCACGTTTCACATTCGTGGATAACCTGTGTGGTGGTGTCCATGGTCAAGTCCACCCCTAGATCACAAGCCCATCCAGAGGTTTCATCTCTTGCTTGATGGCCTAAAGTGTCATGGGCCCAGCAAGCTATAAGGAGTAACCGTTATGTTTCCAGTCCAGATCCCCCTGAGGCACTGCAGTCTTAGCAGCCTGATCCACCTGGTGGTTGTTCTGATGTTCCTCAGTGGCCTGACTATTAGAGATACGGGCATCCACATGACATACTTTTACAGCCAGCTTCCCTAGTCAGGCAGCAATATCTTGCCGCAATGGGGCAGCCCAGATGGGTTTTCCTCTGCGCTGCCAGTTGCTCTGCTTCCATTGCTGCAGCCACCCCGACAGGGCATTTGCCATCATCCAGGAGTCAGTGTAGAGATGGACCACTGGCTACTTTTCTTGACTAGCAGTGTCTAAAGCCAGCTGGATGGATTTCACCTCTGCAAACTGCCTCAACTCACCTTCTTCTTCAGCAGTTTCTGCGACTTGGTGTGTAGCGCTCCATACAGCAGCCTTCCACCTCTGCTGCTTCCTCACAATGCGACAGGACCCATCCGTGAACAGGGCATACTGCTTCTCATTTTCTGGCAGTTCATTGTGCAGTGGGGCCTCTTCAGCACGTGTCACCTCCTCCTCTGGTGTTACTCCAAAGTCTTTGCCTTCTGGCCAGTCCGTGATCACTTCCAAAATTCCTGGGCGACTGGGGCTTCCCATTCGGGCCCGCTGTGTGATCAGCACGACCCACTTACTCCACGCAGCATCAGTGGCATGATGCGTAGAGGGGACTCTCTTTGAACATCCAGCCCAGGACTGGCAGTTGTGGTGCTAAGAGGAGTTGTGTTTCAGTGCCAACCACTTCCAAAGCAGCTCGCACACCTTCATATGCTGCCAGAATCTCTTGTTTGGTTGGAGTGTAGCAGCGGGCCTCATAT